CTTGGCTCAATGCCGGCCTGACCCACGATCCCTACCGTTCTCCCAAAATACAACATGACCCAAACAGGAATTATCGGCATTACTATAGTTATAGTAGCGTTACTATAGTTATAGTATAATAGGTATATCATATGTACACTACAGCTGTTGCTAGGGCCGTCCAATGCGGCTACCCATTAGCATAACGGGCAGAGACTAGAACAATGCCGCTGGCAATGCTCTGTCTGCGACAGGGGTGCGGACATAGCGGAGGTAGGCAGAGCTTTGCCACCTGCCGGCGGTCTTCAGCACGTACTCAGGCACGCCAGCTTTGCCTGCCAGCGTTGCAGCGCCTCGTCTGAGGCTGTGGCTGCGCACGTCTTTGTTAGGCAAGGCTGTTTGTAGTAGCCTGTTGATGTTATGCGGCTTCAGGGGCGTGCCGTCATCATAGCGATAGAGCGGGCCAGGTGCCGAGCCACGGGCTGCTAGGTAACTGGTGGCTGCCGTGTGCGGGCATGTCGGCGAGCCTGTCCTCCTGACGCTAATGTCCTGGCCGCTGCCGTATTGGCTCGTCTTTGTCACACGCAGGCGCAGCTCCACGCGGTCTGGGTACATGGTCGCATCGCTGTACTCAAGGCCGGCGCCCCGTGCCGTGAAGGTGTACTCGTTGACTCTGAGCAGCCCGTGGAAGGCCAGAGTCACGGCGCTCCAGAGCATGGCGCGGTTGTGCGGGCTAGGCACGGTGGACTGCAGGTAGTGCTGTACGCCAGCCAGATCGTCCAAAGTTGCGGCCCGCGTCGTCAACTGCTGAAGGGTGGACTGCGCTGGTTGTGTCGGCACTGCGTCGGCAGTTGGGCTGCGAGTCCAGAAGCGTCGACAACCTGACCCAAACAGGATTTATCTACATTACTATTACACTACAATTGATGTGAGTGCCGTCCAATGCGGCTGCCCATTAGCATAGTGGGCAATGCGCTCAACGTACCGGATATGGAACAATGCTGCTGGCACTGATCAGTCACTGGGTATGGCTTGCCCTAGTGCGGGGTGGCAAGCGTTCGGAGCGCTGCAGCGAAGCGTATGTTGTGCTGGAGCTGCCCGCCAGGCCCTGGCGGATGAGGTCCATGGTTGCGTCATCAACTGCTGAAGGGTGGACTGCGCTGGTTGTGCCGGCACCGCTTCGGCAGTTGGGCTGCAAGTCCAGGCGCGCTGGCAACCGGACCCAGACAGGATTTATCTGCATTACTATTACACTGCAATTTATGTGAGTGCCGTCCAATGCGGCTGCCCATTAGCATAGTGGGCGATGTGCTCGAAGTACAGGATCTGGAACAATGCTGCCGGCACTGATCAGTCCCTGAGGTTGGCTTGCCCTGGCGCAGGGCGACAAGCGTTCGGAGTGCTGCGGCGAAGCGCATGCCATGCTGGAGCTGTCCGCCAGGCCCTGGCGGATGAGGTCCATGGTTGCGTCGTCAACTGCTGGAGGGTGGACTGCGCTGGTTGTGTCGGCACCACTTCGGCAGTTGGGCTGCGAGTCCGGCAGCGCTGACAACCTGACCCAAACAGGATTTATCTGCATTACTATTACACTGCATTTGATGTGAGTGCCGTCCAATGCGGCTAGCCATTAGCACAGTGGGCAATGCACTCAAAGTACAGGATCTGGAACAATGCTGCCGGCACTGATCAGTCCCTGAGTGTGGCTTGCCCTGGCGCAGGGCGACAAGTGTTCGGAGCGCGGCAGCGAAGCGCATGTTATGCTGGAACTGGCCGCCAGGCCCTGGCGGATGAGGTCCATGGTTGCGTCGTCAACTGCTGGAGGGTGGACTGTGCAGGGTGTGTCAGCACTGCGTCGGTAGATGGGCTGAGAGTCCGGAAGCGCTGTACTCGAAGACGAGTAAGAGACTTGGCAGGATCATTGCAGAGTCGCCGTTGGGCTGAGAGTCCACATCAGCCGGTCTGTTGAACGGAAGGGGGAGGATCTACGGCCAAATGGTGGTGCCTTATCTACATGGTACGAACCTTCCAAAAAATGCCAAGCCGGGGCCAGACATGAGGGGAAACAGACCAAAGCCGCCAGGCATACTTCGTGTCAGCTTTAGAGAGGAGAGCTCAGCATCAGGGACCTAAATTTCCGAGCCATCTTCAAGATTATGGGCTGGTGCGAAAACAGCTCCGGGGGCCCTGGAGGGGTGTGCTGCTGCGTCAGTCGCACAATACGTGCTCCAAGCGTCGCGAACCTCCTCCCGACTAAAGTCTCCCAGGCCAGGGATGGGGCTGCAGTTGCCTCGGCTAGGTTCTGCTCCGCTGCCGGAGCGGCCAAGTCCTCGCGTACAGTAGTCTGGAGCCAACTTCAACTCGAGCAGGCGAGTCCGCGGAGTAGGTTTTGTTCCTGTCGGGTCTAAATAATTGCGGGATGCCAGTGCGTTTCGCAGCTCAGCAGAGCGCATTTTGGCTGGACATCGCTCACTGACAGAGACATGGTTGATCGGATATTGATCAGAAACTGGCCACGATTGTCAAACAATTTGACCGTCAAGGCAGCAAAGCAAAGAGCGTTATGGCTGGACATCGCTCACTGACAGAGACATGGTTGATCGGATATTGATCAGAAACTGGCCGCGATTGTCAAGCAATTTGACCGTCACTGCGTCAGCGCAGCATAGCAAACGGAGCGTTTTGGCTGGACATCGCTCACTGACAGAGACCTGGTTGATCGGATATTGATCAGAAACTGGCCGCGATAGTCAAACAATTTGACCGTCAGCACAGCAAAGCGAAGAGCAAGCTCAAAAACTGGCCAAGGTTGTCAAGCGATCTGACTGTTGGCGCAGCAAGGATGAAGAAGAAGCAGCATCGAGAGCCGGAGTAATGCGCATGCTCCGCGTGGTCCCGTGCCGGGGCGCGGGAGTTCGGAGTGCGTGTTCTGCACGGGCACGTGATGCGCTATGGCAAGTACGTGCAAATTATTTTAGGAATGTAATTGTTGGTGGGTTGCTAACTTCACTTACCGTGCCATGCACGGAAACTTATATATAAAGAACTCCCGTTATTGCAAACAAATACCATTGGTCCCTAGGTGTTCGGCTTAAAGAGGTTTGACTGTGCAAGGGTACCTACACCATCACAGTATCACTATCACCATCACTATCAAGTGCAAGACGTACAGCTGACCAGAACCACTACACATGTGACTATCAACAGCATGATATAAAATTGTTACTTGAAGTGTCACTGAATCAGGTTCTTACACAAACAAACGGACCGGTAGACACGTGAACACAATCACATAATTCATGCACAACACACCCATACACACTAGTATGTGCACACACGCACACACACACGCACACACACACACACACACACACACACACACACACATACACACACACACACACACACACACACACACACACACACATACACACACACATACACACACACACACATGCGGACACAGACAGACTTACAGACAGACAGACAGACAGACACGCATCCATACGCGTTCACGGATACACACATACATGTATACATACACGCAGGGGTTTACGGACCTAGTGACGATTATACATTCACACACAGGTGGTATCTTACCGTCACATATAGCCGTAACATTGTTTTTCTGGTATCCAGTATTACACAGGCACGCATACGACCCTCTCGTATTGCTACAGTGCATTGTATCTTGTGGACATAAGTCAACCGACCCTGCACATTCATCAATATCTGAAGAAATTTAAAACGTGCAGAAAGGCTGCATGATGTTGTGGAGAGTGAACGGGCAGTGATTTCTTTCTCGCCTCCTTCAGTTTGACTAATAAGGCAGAAGACTCAGAGGCAAACGGTGATTTGAGATAATGAAGAGTCGATACAAAAGAGCCATCAAACCTTCAAGGAGAAGAAGACAAAAAAGCACCCGAACTGTGAATGACAAAACGGAAAGAGAGTTTCATGCATTGTGATGAGGTAGAACACCTCCTTGCATTTGCCTTGCCGAACTTTGTATGGTCTGAAATTGAACAGATGATCCATATACTAAAGTCTGAAAGAGGGAAAAAGGAGCTGATGGAGTAGAAGAGAGAGAAGGAGAAGGAGAGGAGGGTATTGCGCCACCCAACCACGAATTTGGCAGTGCTGCTTCTCCGATGGCTGATGTAGGAATAAAACAAGAGGCAATTTTTTTTCTCCTGCACTATGGCTGCCGAGGCCCAGACCGTAATGTATGTCATGTGGTGGTTTGTGCAGTTGTTGAGCAGAAGTAAAAGAACAGGCACAGTAAGAGTCTGTAAGTAGGTACGTGTCTGACCACAACATTTAGTGGTCACACCCGTACTAGCTTTTTGGCAGGTACATGGATATGGCTAGTGGGGTTTCTCGGCACTTGTGCCAGTGGTTGTGAGACGTATCCCTCGCCCCACTGTTAGGTGCTGCATCTGCCGCTAGGGTGTACCGGGTGTTAGCGGCCGTCGCCAGTTCCCTTTGGGAACGGACGCGATAATTTACTTTTTTTACTGCCTTTCGGGCACGAACTAACTTTCGGATCTGACTTGTGTGTAGTGGAGAAGTCATTTTCATGAAGATGTACATGCACATGCATATATGCGCTGCATGTGCAAACTGTACCGGTACTTATTTCGGACAATATGTTTATCCGGCTTAATTTATTACTTGACGGCTTGACTTCAACAGGAGTCGAAAGAATGAAGGGGGGTATCTATTGTGGGTACCGTATTTTTTGGAGTAGAAGCCGCACTGGAGTGTACGCCGCACTGGAGTGTACGCCGCGCTGGAGTGTACGCCGCGCTGGAGTGTACGCCGCGCTGGAGTGTACGCCGCGCTGGAGTGTACGCCGCGCTGGAGTGTACGCCGCACTGGAGTGTACGCCGCGCTGGAGTGTACGCCGCACTGGAGCGTACGCCGCACTGGAGTGTACGCCGCACTCAGATTTTTTGTCACGAAATACAAACATCTAACCTGTCTGCAACCGTGAATTTGACCATCGTAGTTACTCGTATTGACTTTTTTTGGATGGATTACAAGTGATTAAAGTGCGGCCTATACTCCGAAAAAAAGCAGCACTTATTTGCAGACTTTCACGGTACTGGAGATGCCGGTAAGCATGTGCACGTGGGGCTCACCTTCACATGTTACTTTGTCGGTTGCGAGAGTATATCCAGATGAGCAGTGGCACAGAAAAGAACCATTGGTATTCTGGCATATATCCGAACATGCCGATGCACCGTGGCATTCGTCAATATCTGAATTATAGGACACAAAATTGGGAGCAGCAGTCGAATGCCAGACAATAAACTCATTGACAGTGAATTGTGCAGAGCTGAATCAAGAATTCAGTCGGATGCTTCCTTCAGTCTCATGTTGAATCATCTACTTGATCAATTGTTTAGACAGTTGTCTGAGGTCCTCAGGCTGCGTATACTGCTCTATGTCCAGTGGACAGACCCAGTAATACAATGATCACACAGCAATGAAGCAAACCTAATCGTTTTTTCAGATGGCACCCAAACTCCACATAATTGTTCTACAGGGCTGGACTTGGTCCACAAGTGGGAGTTCTTCCCAGCTCGGACTATGCATTCAAGTTGAGCACAGAGTGTTTCAGCGGTTTGACTGTAGTTGTACGCGTTCTTCTTACCATTGCATTTCCCATGTATGGCAGTATCCAACGTGTAGCCCCTTTGACAACTGCAAATAGCAGTGTGTGATGTTAGATCCTGCACACAGAGCTGTTCACAGCCACCGTTATTCTTGCAGGGCCGGATGGCTGTGGGAGAGAAGGCAGCAATTAAGGAATGGAGATCGACAGAGTATACAAGGAAGTCAATGTTCAAATACGTCAATATACATGTTTTGTACAGGTGCGTCTAGTAGTTCGTACAAAGCACGTACTGGATTGCTCTATTGCCCGTAGAGTGTTCCATGCCTGTCTGTGGTAAAGCTTTCCACACAATTTGGAGAAATGAAGCTGTGTCGCAAGACAGAGTGTCATGTAATTCACAGTCGTCAAGCAACCTGCCTGCACTCCTGGTTTGACTATTGGATAAGGTGAGACATTTTCAATATGGCAATTGTCAAGCAGATGTGATACAGATCAATAGGTGTTGGGGAAGCGACTTACGCGAGCAACGGCTGCTTCCGTTGAGAGCAAAGCCCACATCACAATAACATTGATATGATCCTTGCGTGTTGTTGCAGAATTTCTCGCAGTCATCAGTATTGAGAGTGCACTCATTGAGATCTGCACATATCACACACACAGTCATAATTGACGAGGCAGCACATTTTTTCACGGCAGTGCCATATTGAATATTGTCCCATATAGCAAACTACTATGAACTACGCTACGCTGTAGAGCAATCTGAGCCAGTTCGTTACAACTGAAGAGCACACATCTGTGGATTCCTCTTCAACTGAGTTGCTGCCCATTATTGATCACCCTAATGTTTCTTGCCTCACGCATGCTAGAAGCTGATATACAAGTCTTACCCTTTTTCAAGAGTCAGCAGAAAGTAATGATATTACAACTCTTCCCCGCAAATACACTGCATGTACATGCTCAACTACAAGACTAGTATGTTATGGAATGCGTTGAGACCGTTGAAGCGACTAACCAGAACACGTCTTGTCATCAGGATTCAGAGCAAAGCCAGCGTTGCATGCGCATGTATAGTTGCCCTGTGTGTTGGCACAGACCTGCTGACATGGTGAAGATGACCGGTTCCTGCACTCATCAAGATCTGCACAGAGACAATTCAACAATTACAAAACTGGTGAGTGACATTAGATAACTTTTCAAATGCATACTGAGACTATTGCGTGAGGCAGCGCGTGTGGTGGCAAGAATCTGTGGATTTAGTACCCAGGCGTAAAAAGGTTTTAAGGCAGCAAGCAAGCATGCAGCAGTCATCAAAGAACTTCTTGTCTCTATTATAAATATATGAGTAAGGTTTACTTCGAAGTACACGCTTGAAAATTGCTGTCTGATGCTCGATTAAAACCGTGAAACTCAGAGTTACAGCATAAGCGCTTTTGATTCCTCTCAAGTGCGTGTACAAGGCTCTGCACATTGAGCACTGTCACGAGCAACCACAACACTCTCCGAGTGAGTAAGGTTTACGATTCATCGCTGCGTATTCCATTATTGCTCACTCGTAGTGTGCACATGTGGTGAATAGAAGGGGGTAGTCGGGTGTTCATGACGAGCGAGCATTAACTGCAATTTCTACATGTGCACATCCGGTATCAGCTCACAGTTTTGCAATGGAACTGACTGGGATATGCCTCTAAGTTATATTCAAACCTGTAACAAGCCACCTCTGTGATAACAGACAACCTCCCCCCCCCCCCCAAAAAATAACCCCTGTCACGTAGTGTTCTATGCCAAGCTCCAACAAGAAATCATCTTAACCTGGGTATGGTGGACACCTGTCTTTGTACCACAAAGTGCATGCTAAAATACAGGCTTGACCGGGCAGGCCAGGATAATCCGCTCTTCCACCGCTTGCCTGCCTAATGTGTGCAAGACACACCGCATGCGCAGAGTGTTGTATGTGATGCTAAGGCCACGTAGCCCCCGGCACTATAATATTCATGGGGGGCAGGTTTCTGTGGCTAGGACAAGTTTCAAGCAATCTGCACTAACTTACTTAAGTATAGCCTTTCACTACACCAGCCTGTTATTAGGTCCCGGTGAGTCATCGGCCCTGCTACGTACCTAGGCAGCTCTTTCCGACTCCAGTAAAACCAGGAGGACAGGCGCCACACAGGTAGCCAGTGTCCGGCGCAGGCTTGTCGAAACAGTCCACGCCGTCGGAGCAGGGTTGATACGCCGCCTTACACCCGTCCCGATCATCCTCGCAGAATTCACCAGCGTATGCAGGAGGGCACTCGCATGCATGGATGCGCGTCCGCTCTGAACTGCGCGAGGAGAATGTGGCATGGGAGACGTTTCCCCCGCTGTTGCAGTTGCGAATGTAGACAATTGGACGAATGAGCACGGTGGCGGAGGTTTCTGGAGAAATAATCAGGAACTGTAGATTGGTGGCTTTCACATTGAAGTCCACTGCCAGAACAAAGATGTCAGGCCGGGTGCTTGTTCGTTCATCTGAGAACGAAGAGTTCTTGGCTGGTATTCGCTCAACCCGATATGAGCTTTTATCCAGTGTGACATTGGAGAGGTCCACTGTCAATAGGCCTCCCGAGTATATAAACACGGGAGATGTTGTATTCACCCGGATTGGATTGACAACTGGAAATGCACGATACAAACATGGCAAGAGAGCACAACTTCTGTATGCTTGCACAGTACACTGGATATACCATTGCCGGGCTGCAATATACTACTGAAGTACATGTAATGGAATAACGTACTTGAAGAGTTCTTTTCGAAACCTGGCATGATATGAGATGTATCAGCCTGTGGACCTTGGCTGGATGAACAGAATATTGAGTATTTTTGGCTTTGAAGTACAGCGTTTCACAAGCCTTGGAGGTATGTTATGCAAATGTTTCATCGTACTTCAATTTGAAATTGTCAACATACTAATGCGTGTACATGTCATACTGTCCGCATCTATGATGTTCCAATATTTTTATTTTTATTTATCAGGCGCGTGCACCGTATGAGTTTGTTGGTGTCTGAAAACTACCTTTTTCCGGGCAATCTTGCCAAAGGAAAAGCGTGCCTACTGGATTGGTTATCCTGCAAACGCGTCGATCGACGGGCAGTTTACAGTCCAGTAACTATGTACTAATTTCGAAGTGAGAGAGTTGCTTTGCATGCAGTTGAAAATATATTTATTCTCTCTTTCTTCAGTGGAGAGTAGCGACAGAGAGATCGATCTCTAGCTCTGGTTGGCTCCTGGATTGGCGATGACGTTCAAGAAATCCGTTCTCAGACGGTCTCGAAATTTGAGTCAAGCACGCGCGATGCAAGTCAGTTCAAGGATATGATTGACGATATCTCCTTCCAAACTGTTGACTCAAATCAAGATCTCCACAGCCTTTCGTTCTCGCTCATGTGCGCAGCAGAGATGTTCGTCAAAAACGTTGTCGACTGGAAGACGTAAAAATGTGCGTCCAGGATCCACTTGCGCTGCTTCAGAACGAAGCGCTGCTCCGGCCGCGACTCAAGGACGCGGGACTTCGCTTTTCTTCCGCGAGCTTCCATCGAAGCAAGGCCCATAACTCTTTATTGAAATCATGTGGAACATTGCCAATACATGCTGAAAACTCCGTCATAAAAACAGAAAGAAAGATCCGTCGAATGTAAGCAGTGTTTTGATGAAACAAACATGGAGTGGACTACAAGTAGTGAAGTACCATAGACATAGTGTTATACTAGTCTTATAGACTGTAGTGTAGCCTGCAAGGCGGCTAGGCCTATCAAACTTTTACGTGTTCAATATCACAAACATGTATATACGAGTACATTGACTTTGCACCCTCTCGCGTTTGTGCCGGCATGATCTGATGAAAGCAGTCGGACGAGCCCCGCATCTTATCAGCACCAGTGTTCATTGGTGCCCTGCACCCCTGATCTTGATCCCCCCCCCCCCCCTCCCTCCTCCCTAGCCCTCGCCGTTACCTCCGACGGGATGTTCGGGGGATGCTCATGTGCACAAATACATAAGTATACAGTGGGTCTCCAGAAAAAAATTTACCAACTCTAGAAACCCCCCTTTCGAGACTCGGTGCACGCCACTGTTAATTTTCACGAAATCAATGGCTGGTTGACATACACATGCATGCCGTGCACATGTAGATTGGAATTCTCTTACCTTCACCGCACCCTATGATGCGCATCAGCTCTTTGGTATAGTTGAGATCTCTGGTGATATTTGCCACCAGGTGGCACAGAGCGTTGTTGAACTTGCATGATTTGCATGTTTCGTTCACCTGCGGCCAGAAGTCATCATAATACTCAGGTGGCAGGGTTGTTGGACTGCTCGTTGTGGTGGGTGACATGGTACTGGTACCATTTGATGCACAGCGTGGATCCTTGGCTAATTGTAGTGCACTGCAGTTCAATTTCCCTGTTGAAGATGGACACGAGACATCACCAATATGCTCATTGCAAAATGACGTAGTAGTTTGTGATGCCAACACCCCGCATTGCCACCCTAGGCATGGTCGTGTGGAGTGTTGAACAGTGCATTGCTGATCCCATTGTCGTCAGGGGTTGTTCTATCCGACGATATGCCCTTCCGATTACTCTCACTCATGCACGCATATACCACACACAGAGGACCAGTTATTCTTCGCTGCCTTCTTCCTGAGACTTTCCTTGGTGCCAGAACGAATAATTGGTCCTCTGTATGTGGTGTATGCGTTCATCGTCGGATAGAACAACCCGCGATGACACCAGCGTACTCACATGCATCACTCATGCATTTCATATTTTGGCAATGCGCCTTAGGCCTATAAGTCAGAAGTTCACACACATGCACATAGATCTCAAAAGGAACCTTTGCTGCATTTCATCATACTGTTGCGAAGAACCAAAGCTCACATCTATTAATTGCATCGCCCTGTATTGGCAGTAGAGACGGTCCATCTATGAATAAGAGACCTCGGCTGCTATTCAGAAGGCTTTGTGGACAGCCGACTGTGACAGCAATGGTTCTCCTGTGCGGAAAGAGGACAAGGTTGACCGAGAAGCCACTTTCAAACACCACGCTGCCGTGAGTGCGATTGTGCACTATGACGCTGAAGCCGTTATGAGCGCTGATGCCAATCGGTGTCGGCCGCGGAGCGGTCGTACTGTTGCTCGGAACCCTGGTGCAGTTTCGATTCCACTGCAGACACTCGTAAGTGATGCTGACGCCGTCGTCACTGAACACTTTGAACACTTTGTTACTCAACGGTTGACCATTAACAGTGAAGGAGAGTGCACCCTCAGAAGACACACCGGCTACGCACTGGTCAGTGCTGTTTCCCTGCATGCCAATGCTGGTGACCTGTTGAGGCCCGTCCCCACTGGTCTCTGAAATCACAATTTCACACCGGAAATACCCAGGACTATCCACCAGTAGGAAGTTGCCTCTTTGAAACATTGTATACTGTCCTCCGGGTGTAGTGCGGATGATCGGAAGAGCAACAGTTCCTGCAAGAACGAGTACACATTACCCAGGAAACAAGAAAGCAATCGGCAACAGCCTGATTTGAGATACATATTGTTGCTTTTCTATCTAAGGGATAAACAAGTCCAAGGTAGGAGAGAACCATATGGAGGTTTCAATGGATTCAAAACTGGCTTATTCAAACAATACTACATGGAAAGAAGGATGAACAGCAAAGATGACAAAACATGAAGGTTTCAAAACTAATCATACATAGCAATGGTGCAACCAAGTCTTCCTTGCCGCTACTCAGAGTCTCTTGTCTGAAAAAAATAAACTTATCAGATGGCATCTGTTGCTGTTTGTGAATTGCATTACTGGCTCTGTCCTGTGGACATGGGGCACTATATGCAGCCCGAGGATCTTAAACACTTGTGTACAGGTTTCAATGCGTTGAAGTCTCCCAATAAATTTTGCTATAAACTTACTTACCAAGACTCTGCCTAGAATAGGCGATGCTAGACTGACTAGGTCGTTTCTCCCAGTACAGGTGACAGAGAGCTGAGTCCTCACAGCACCATTGCCGTGGCAGGGTCTCCTCGGAGCTGACTGTAGTCGGCTCAAAGCTCAGCCAAGAGAAGCGTACTGAGTTACCACCATCAGGTGGACCTTCAAGGAATGCCCCGTATCCCAAGGGCAGTGTTCGATAACAGCACTCCTGAGATGAACCAGTGATGGATGGGACAGAATTCTGGAAGCACGTCCGCGGGGAAAGTTCCCGAATGAGTTGAAATCGGGAGTCGGCTTGAGCTTGCGCAAGGATCTGTGGACAAGGATTGAAGTATTTCATCCATGTCCTTGGGTCCGGTTGAGATGCGTACCACCGAAGGCACTTTGCCCTTGGACCATCAATGACACCTTTGTATAGCCTGAAGATATACATGGCTCCTTCAGTGCACGCTTGCTGGAAGAGGTATTGGTTGGCGGAGTCCACTTGATCATCGATGCCACTGATTCTGAAGGTGCCTGACCGCCTGTCATTGTAATATTGCTCCGGCGTTGAATAGCCCATTACGGAATGACCGTACGTGACCCGTGGGTTACGCAGCACTGGAATCGACCACTGGATGGAGTTGACATCGTAGGCGAACGTGGTGTAGGATCGCAGGCCGTCTGTTGCCATGACAGCTTGAAATGTGTTATGCTGTGCGGGAGCAGAAACAGGGAAATGCCGTGGAAGCAACATGAAAGCACGCAATGATTGAAGTTTGGCAATAGTGCGGAAGGGAAAACAATTCACATTCTCAAACACAAATGAATATATGTGAGTGGTATTGACACGAATGAATCCAGATACTTGTTTTCTTCTCTAGTGCTTTTTTTATCCACAGTTAAGAGTAGAGCCCATACGCTCTCTTCCTTTAACACTGCAATAGTTCAACTCATTTCACAATAATCATTCCAACGTTTCGGCAAATTGCCTTCATCAGGTTCACAATGATTTGCAAGCTCCCAAACCAGCATTGATAAAGGCCAACTCCCCTGTCAATAAGAGGGTGTGAGAAGCAGCGCGAAAAAAGTCCAGCTAATAGTGCTAACATCAACTATCAGTGGAGGGGACTACAGCTGAGGTAAAAACAAAAACAAAACAAAAAACACATTATCCAGCGCCGAATGTCATGATAACCAGACAATAAGCGAGTGGCGATACAAATTACAGCAAAGACCACCCAGCGTTAGTGTTTATCTTTGGAGCCAAATTTCTGATCTCCACAGCCTCCTTCAATTTCCTGCCAGCTCTGTCGCCTTCTCGAGCGAGGACTGATACTGCCTGTGAAGGCGCTATCTCGTAGTCTCAATCTCCTGCGCGAATGCTTGTTTCTCATGTGGTCATCCCAAGGCTTGTCACGAGTCTTTCGACGTGCTTCTCCATTATGTTCCTTTAGATGGGTCCCTAGTGATCGTTCTGTCTCTCCAACGTAATATTCCGTACACCATTTGCAATCTATTCTGTATACTACATTCTTATTCATGCAAACCTTCTCCCCACCGGATTGGCAAAGTAAGACATGGCTCAAGTGGGCGGCCCCGTCTCCTACGTTGCGTAATATTCGGCTCCTTGACACACTGGGGTGGAGACTGTGCTGAACGACGTAATTGATTGCGGAGACTGCCCGAGTGCTCATAAACTACTCTTAAAGGGGAAGTAAAGGCAAAAATTAAAATTTCACCAGTTGTAGTCTTCGGGGTGCTGAGTCGAATGGTCTTGGTCCGAGAAAGCTGGGACGCTCCCTTCCTACTTGAATCCCAATCGAACTCGCGCACTTCCACCGAAACTGGGTGACTGCGCCCTACTAGATGGGGATTTGTATGCAAAATGTCACTAAAAGCGCCATTTCGTTCTTATAAAAGCACGGATGACCACGATTGGCCCATATGTTGTAGTCTTTTGGACGCTGAGTCGACTGGTTTTGGTCCGAAAAGGCTGCGATGCAGCGTTCCTCCTTTATTCCCAATCGAACATGGTTGAACAAGCGGTCACATGCTCCTGGGTGCCCAAATCACCTGGTCACCACGCCAGCAGGCGACAACTTTCACACCAAGGTTCAACTCGAGTTCAACTCGAGTGACAGGACTGCACCCAAAAAAGGTCAAACAGGCTAGTAAGTTGTGCCCTGCAGGCACAGTGACCAGCTGACTGGTGTACGCAGGAGCACGTGACCGCTTGTTCAACCATGTTCGATTGGGAATACAGGTCATCCGTGCTTTTATTAGAACGAAATGGCGCTTTTAGTGGAATTTTGCATACAAATCCCCATCTAGTAGGGCGCAGTCACCCAGTTTCGGTGGAAGTGCGCGAGTTCGATTGGGATTCAAGTAGGAAGGGAGCGTCTCAGCTTTCTCGGACCAAGACCATTCGACTCAGCACCCCGAAGACTACAACTGGTGAAATTTTAATTTTTGCCTTAACTTCCCCTTTAATTTGTGAAAAGTGAAGACCTCCTAGTATTGTACGAGTGTACTCACACTCTATTCTACATGGAACATCTTACTCTATTCTGCATGGAACATCTTACACATACAAATAGTACAAGTAGTACTGCTGACATGAACAACAAACAAAAACGTATTTATAAGTGGGAGTGGGGGTATGCTGGCCAAACCTTACCAGTTGGTACTTGTAGAGGCTTGGGTAGGGTGTGATCCTCTCCCATGTTACAATTGCTGCCCATGTTGCGGTGAAGTAGAATGATTTGTCAGTTTTCCTCTCTTTAGCAAGGATCAAGCTCTCTATTTCCTCCAGCATTGCCTTCTCCGAGGACACCTGCCTGTCGTAGAAATGATACCAGACATGAGATCTGAGACCATCTGGAAGATTCTTGGAGTACGAGTTGTCAGCCAAGCACCAGTAGGGTGCCAGAATTGTTGGCTGTGTGGTCCAGTTTCCTGGGAACACCTGGGGATGGCGAATGGGTTGGTCTTGATCCAGCATAATCACTCCATTCTCACAGATCTGCATACCAGCGCACACATTCAAGAAGGAGCATGTCAGAGCCTTGCCCAGGATTGGGTAGGTGTGTTTAGATGCTGGAAAAAACAAGTTCAAAGTTTTATTCTCCTATGTGTCTGGTACCGCAACCCTAAACCCAAATGGCAAGTGCCCTTAACTGGGAAAACCGTCACACTGTAATCAGAGATATCACTGTATTATGAAACTGGAGAAGCATGCTACCCAAATTTTCAGCAGTAACTGAAGGTAAGATTGTTTCTTGACATTTCTATATTATTCAACATTGTAAATGATCATGATTATTGATATCACTGTATTATGAAACTGGAGAAGCATGCTACCCAAATTTCCAGCAGTAACTGAAGGTAAGATTGTTTCTTGACATTTCTATATTATTCAATATTGTAAATGATAATGATTATTGAGATCACGAAACGCTCTGTGACTTGGGAACTTCAGGGCTCACGGTTGGGATGCCAAAACTCGATTACGTGGGAGGACATCTTGAAATCTGATCACCATAGAAATGAGCTCGCGTGACTCGAGCTGTGCACGCCTACGCGGCGCGGAGCACAGCAAGGAGAGAGTTGCAGTGACCTGGTGACTGACAAGAAGCAGTAGAACTGAGGAAGACGGAGACCGGCTGGGGACTTGCGTTTCACTTTGGTTGCCGTTCACTGTCGTTGTTATTGCTTCTTTCCGAGCGAGTGTGTTGCGAGCAGTGCTGGCCTCGTAAGCCGAAGGCTTCAGACAGTTCGTTCGCACGCTGAGTCCTGCGATGAGAAGTCGCGAGTTCTGCCGCCGAGTTTTTTTAGTGAGAAAGGGATCGACATCTATGTCGTCCGCTGATGCACTGGCGCAGGTGAGGAGAGGTAGAGGACAAGAGCTCCTTGATGGAATGAAGCAAAGACTCACACCGTGTTCTAGTTCGTTATCTCTGTTCTCAGAGCGTTTTGTAAATGCACTTACACGAGTGAAAGAGCCGTGCCACGCTGCTGTGAGAAGTGACGATGGAGAGTTGTGAATTATTTGATTTGCCACTCTGTTTCGTTGCAAGAGGACGAATCAAATGGCTTCGCCGTTGTACTGGTCATGTATTTTTGGTTCGCCATAGATGCTGAAGCACACAGCAGTAGGACGCCGATGAGAGAGACAGCAAACGGTGAATAATATTTCAAAAGTTTGTCAGTCACGGAGGAAACATTGCAAAAAACGCCTTGCTGCTGCCTCGCTGGTGTAGTTTCCGCATCGTACAACGCATATGCACAGGCTTCCTTCCTTGTCGTCGCGCACGGGAGTTCGCGTGCGCCCCTGCCGACTTAGCTCACTTCAAAACAGTATAAGGTAGCACAATATTGGCCGATTTTGACAATCGATGGCTCAAAATCCTCAGTAGATACTAAGCTACAGTTTAACCGAAGCGATTTTTTTCTAGATGAAGGGATCGCTGTAGAGCATTCACGGACTTTGTGACCATATCTCTAGTTTCCCAGGGCCAAAATCAAAAATTCCTTCGGTTGAACCCCTAGTTCACATCTTGCCTGGTTCCACCCAAATTTTCAGTGTCGTACTGTCTACCTGTGCTACCTTATTCTATTTTGAAGAGGCATGTGTCGCACTGAAAATGCGCTGCGAGATGGCTAGAGTTTGTGTACAAGGGGTGGTCGAGCTGTGGTCGCGTGACAGTCGACCTGTCGTCGCGTGAGCTGGCCAGAAACAAAATGGCGCCCACGTATTTGTACACAACCGTGAGCCCTGAACTTGATGTGGCCTCTGGAGGATTTGCATGCGAGTTGCCATATTTTCTGGGGTATTACGGGGAGTTCCACTAGCTCTCGGAGTCACAAAATGACTGATACCTAATTATAACAAAGTACATCATGTGACTTGGGATATAGAGCAGCAGGCGGTTGCAGGGTTGAGACCGATACAATTCAGAAATAGAAGCGGAGCTTATATGCCTGACAATCACTTAAACTGCAAGCATGAAGGCATTGGTACTATGCCAGCTCCCTCTCTTTCTCACTCCCTTCATCTCTCTCTCTCTCTCTCTCTCTCTCCCTCTCTTTCTCTCTCTCTCTCTCTCTCTCTCTCTCTCTCTCTCTGTATGTGGGGCTCCGTTTATTGAGGTGCGTTGAAATTTATTCTCTTTATCTTATTATTTCTTTTCTATAATTTCCCCATATGAGTTCCTATCAGTTGCTGTGAAGACCTTGAGTGGAGAGCGCTTGCTCGAGCGTTGAACCGGGTTCTTAATCCACCATACCCAGTTCGCAAGGCTGGGCGGGGTTGTGAGCAGGCTTTCATTTCATCTTTTCTTATTATTTCTTATTATTTCTGCTTTTCATCTCATTACAAAAATTCTGCGCTTTTTCTCCATCTGCGCATAAAATCTAGACTGACAACCTGCTTGTTAAATCATGCACCTGCTTTCAGGCGTTAAAACCCTGTTGTAGAGGTCTCAGTCCTTATTTGTTAGACTTACCTGTCTTTATAAATGTAACTTACTCTCTTTCTCTCTCTCTCTCTTTCTCTCTCTCTCTCTCTCACACACACACACACACACACACACCCTCCGAGGCTCTCTCTCTCTCTCTCTCACCCACACACACACACACACACACACACACACACACACACACACACACCCTCCGAGGCTCTCTCTCTCCCTGGGATAGGCTGAATCTGGAAGGCAGATTGACCGAGGAAAGCAGCAGTCCAGTACAGAGAAATGCCCATAAACTCACTGTCACTTTGTTATGCTGGGTGTCATTGATCGGAAATCCATTGGCCGAGTTTGCCAGTTGCCTTGTGACGCATGATGTTCCATTGCCAAGCAAAAGCTGTGTGTCATTCACCCTTGTGCCATATGTAAAGAATTGTGAAGAGTTTCGTCCACAATCAGATATGTTTCCAACTGCAGTTACATCACCAGAATTGGACCGGCACATCAAATTAATAATGCATAAATTTATACTTGAAATGCTCTCACTAGAACTATGAGATTTATCAATGCTCCCCATTTTTATTCCTGCTTTGACATTTGTTTCCAGGGAAGAGTGAACACGTTAAGTAAATCACGACCCAGTAAGGAGGGACCCTCAGTTGCAACAACGCGTACAGTAACAGATTCAGTTTTCCCGTTAATCGTGACAGTGCTCTGGGCACATGTGCATGTTTGTCCGCATAATTTATTTTCTATAATGCATTATGTTATGAGCACTGTCCCAGTGTCAGCAAATATTGATTGCATGCCTTTGTACATATTTCTGCTTGCTTTGTTGCTCCATATACCTCCGATTTGTGGGGGAGGATTGCTATGTATACGTCATACTTCTTAATATGATGACTCCTCTTTTCTCTATCATACTGAGCATGCGTCATAACAACATGGTCTTTTTGTCCGTCACTACTCTATGAACTGTTTGTGTGTTTGTGAGGTCCGACACAACAGAAAGAAAGTTTCACCACCTCACCAAGTCCTGTACGCCCGTCCGTCTGCCCGCCCGTCCGTCGGTCCGTTCATTCGTCTGTCTGTCAGTCTCTCCCGACCTCTACAACCCTCCCTCCCCGTTACTCCTTTCCTACCGCCATCACACCTTTCTGGTATAGATGCACTGGTGGTGCAGCAGGAAAGGACACGAATATCAGCAGTAATGCGCCACCTCAAGTTTACTGTAAGAACACCTGGCAGTCTCAGTCATAGGTGCTCCTTTCCAAGTGTAGGGATAAAATCATGCGTACACAATCTGCCCTGTTACAAGGATCGCTTACCTGTGTGGTCGGCAACAAATTGCCATCTATTCGGGTCCTGGATGCCGAAAAATGGCGCCCCTCCGCCTGTACAGCTTTGCTGCCCTACCACGAAACCATTGTCCATGGTAATGGAATATGTTGCATCAATCTTCAGCTTCGTTGTGACGTAGAATATAAGCTGATAGTGGTTTAGATAAAGCGGGTGCTGTTTCAGGATGGCGTCGTGTGGACTAAGGGAGAACACGGCTGGTCTAACCACTGTACCATTCTTCACCTCATTGATGCGAATGGCAGCCGTGGTACCTTGCAACGGCCTGAGGATCTGTGGAAGTAGCATAAATGTTCAAGGCAGACTTTTTGCAACTCACGCTCAGTGTTGGACTATTCATGGACAATCACAGGACAAGATCCAGGAGCTGAGGACATTGTCTGGAACGGGCCTCAACCCCAAACTCCAGCAAACAAAACCCTCGCTCGTACTCGTAGCCAAAAATGCTGCGAACAACAGTTTGAACAAAAATCAAACCAAGGACGGCGCCAAGCCCCAGGTCCGTGCAAGACACCAGCAAGGCGCTATGTCATCCATCGACCATCGCGCGAGCCTGAGATACACATGAAACAAGCTTCTGAGAATTGCGGAGGAAAAGTTTGGAATGTTGTGGTGATGATTTGATGCTGATGATCACGCTGCACGCAAAACAGGCATCCCCAGCAAAAGCAATGACCACTGCAGTACCAACAGTAGCCTACAGCCGCAGCTGCCACTGGGCAATCAGCCATCACCAGCCGCGAGATCACGAGGCCAGATGACGGATCGTGGCTGCCGCCAGTGACTATCCAGATAAGTTGAATTTATTGTATGCTTTTTCTCATACTTGTAGGTTTAACAGATTGGTGCCATAGTGTACTCCAGTCGGCTCCGCTCAGGCTTTGTTGCGGTCGTGAATGAAATTACTTGTTTCTGTACTCCAAGCATCCTATTATAATGGAGATTGTCTCTCCCTTTTTCCGGCACGCACCAAATCATTCGGTAACGAGAGTAGCGCCGCCAACCATGCCGGATTTGTATATGGTGGTATAAAGTGCTTTCTTACGTGTAGGTGGTCAGGCGTAGTTGTACAATCGAATAAGCTCCAGCTTATAGTAATCGTGTGATTGCTTTACACCCCTACAGGCAATGTTTGCAATTCCAGTACTTTATGCGGGGTAGGGTACTACACTAGTTCCGCTTCCAGTATATCCATTGTACAGCGTCGGTGCATTATTTGTGCGTCAGTGGATGAATCTACAAATTCGTGTATGCGAAGCTAACTTCAGTAAATGCGCGTATGGCACACTGTGTGCTGTGTTTCGGAATGAGTGTGCTGCGCATACTGTGCGGGCGGACAAGTCCTGATGTATCTGTCTTACTGAACGCATTGTGCGTTGTGCTATGTTAGATCGGTCCTGCCTGATGAGTGCATCATGCACTGAGTGTCGGCGATGATTCCTGGTGTAACTGTCCTAATTGACAAGCACAGTATGCGCTGTGTGGTAAAACTGTGTTTCTGGATGAGTGTACTTCGCATAGCGTGTTGGCGGACATTTCCTGGTGTAACTGTCTTACTGGATGAACGCATCGTGCGATGTGCTATCCCAGACCTTGATGAGTACATTGTGCGCTGAGTGTCAGTGTTGATTCCTGGTGTAACTGTCTGAATTGATGAGCACATTATGCGCTGTGCAATGTCATATGAGTCCCGATAGAACTGTCTCACCGAAGGAGTGCATCGGGAGCTGTGCGATGTCCGACGGATCCCGGTATGTCTGACTGGAAGAGTGCATTGTGCGCTGCGAGGTGACGGTGGATGCCCAGTATAACTGTCTTACTGGAAGAGTGCATTGTGCACGGCGAGATGATGGAGGATTCCCAGTATAACTGTCTTACTGGAAGAGTGCATTGTGCGCTGCGAGATGACGGAGGATTCCCAGTATAACTGTCTTACTGGAAGAGTGCATTGTGCACTGCGAGATGATGGAGGATTCCCAGTATAACTGTCTTACTGGAAGAGTGCATTGTGCGCTGCGAGATGACGGAGGATCCCCAGTATAACTGTCTTACTGGAAGAGTGTATTGTGCACTGCGAGATGACGGTGGAGGCCCGGTATAACTGTCTTACCGGAAGAGTGCATTGTGCACTGTCCAATGCCAGACGAACCCCCTCTAGATCTGTCGCCCTGGATGATTGCGTTCTACACTGTGCGACGCCAGATGAGTGCCCATATAACTGTCTCGCTGGATGAGCGCCTTATGCACCGTACAACATAAGGCACTTACAGCCCGGCAGTGTCCACCACCTCCCAATATCAATGTCTTACTAGTTGACGTATTGTGCAATGTACGATGTCAGTTGTGTCTCTGGACGATTGTTTCAAAGAATGAGTGCATTACACCACGTACAATGTTGAGTAGAGTCCCAGTAGAATGGTCTCACCGGATGTACGTATTGTTCACCGAGAGTTATAATGTCGATTTCCAGTATCATTGTGTCTCATTGGAGGAGTGCCTTGCATACTGCGTGGGGTCAGCTGTGTTCTAGTCAAAATGTCTTACTGGAGGAGTTCATTCCAGTCTTATTCGCTCATCAGATTGTGTACTATACGATGTCAGACGGGTCCCCGCATAACAGTCTCTATGGGTGCATTGGGTACTGTGTAATGTCCGCCACCTCCCAATATCAATGGCTTACTACATGTAGTTGACGTATTGTGCAATGTGCGAAGCCAGTTGAGTCTGTATGATCGTCTCGATGAATGAATGCGTTCGCCACGTACCATGTTGGACGAGTCCCAGTGGAATGATCTTACCGGCTATACGTTTCGGTCACCGAGAGTTAAATATTGAGTTCCAGTATCATTATCTGTCCTATTAGAGGAGTGCCTTGCATACTGTGTGGTGTCAGCTGTAGCCCAGTAAAAATGTCTTACTGGAGGAGTTCATTCTCTACTGTGCGAAGTCAAAATAGGCCCACTGTACCAGTCCGATTGGACAGGTGTTACATGCACTTTGCAAAGTCGGATCAGACCTAACTTACTGGCTTCTTGCATAGGCTCTGTGTGTTCTGTGTGAAGCCTGGAGGCACTGTGTGAATATTCCTGGATTAATTCCAACAATTTTATGCTGTGCATTTTAATCATGCCGGCCCTATCGGGTTTCACTTGTCCCGAGTCTGTTTGTGGCACAACCCTGTACATGATTCTTGCTCCCAGATGACTTACTCTGCTGTTCTGTGTGCTTTTCCGGCTTGTTCTTTCTCCTTTCTCTTCTCTGCTCCCTGCTTTAGAGTAATTCACATCTGGCTGCGGCCAACTACCCATCACTTTGTGTGTTGTCGCTATTGCTGTCTATGTCTCTGGGTATACCAGTATATGTGGAGCGAGAAGGCCTAAACGTTAGACCTACTGTCTACAGAGACTCGTTTTCCATGCACAATACCAGGAGACTGGTCTTGTTACAAATAATCTGGTAAGTCAGTACAGTAAAACTAGGGTTAAACGACCATGCATGGTTCAAGCAAAAGGGCCTTATGACCCCTTATAAGGGGTCATAGGGGCCTTATGACCAGGGGTCTCCCAAACCAGACTACATGCATGCAGGTGACTTGGTGAAAAACTGTCACAAAAGCAGGCAGTCTCCTAAACCAGGTTACACCGTAGAAGGCCAGCAATGGGTTGCACGTAAGCGCTGTGCCAATACCTATCTTACCTGCTGGTCAAAGTCAACAGAAAACGTTGCGCGAACATACGGTGCTGTTTTCCCGCGTGACATACTGGGCTCCGCGGTGCCTGGGATGATCTCGGGGGCACTTGCTGGAAGAGAACATGCCACAGATAGACATCATATGAACATGTGCACGCCTGACACAAGCGTTTTCTGGCAACACATTTCACTACATGTGGTAAAACGTGGAAGACTTTAAATCCTCCTTGAACCAAAACTTCGTTCGTTATAATGACGGACACTATAGAACATGCAGCACGTCTTTGTTTCCAGAGAAAAGATTTTCATGAAAAATGATCACTAACACTGAGATATGAATGCGATTGACATTTCCTCACATAAAGCCACAGTAACAAATTAATTTGATGATTGTTCTCGACTAGGTATACAATGATAATGTGTGTGCCAGCGGTGTACAAAACTTAAATGCACATTCGTTCACTTTCAACTTACCACCCGCCAGCAGTGTGACACATATTTGAGGAGTTGTTTGCCTGTAGGAGAATTGGTAGGAGAACTAAAGTGACTTCATGTTGTGTTATAGATGCGTCAGAAATTCTATTTTCAATGGAAGTGTGAGTCCATGAAATCTGCACCACTGTGCGGAACCAGGTTCTGAATTGCTCTGGTTTCAAGTAGTCATCAAACATATTATTAAATTTTGTTTTTGAAGATGGCACCCCGGGAATCAACCACATTGACTTAGCATGCACTGAGATGAGTGTGTTGCACTTGTCCTGTGTGGCACACGCAAGCCACTTCAAGTACAGTTGTAGCCAGTGTAGTTGGATCCCATGAACACACTAGCACTGGCCCTTTTGAACTCATGAATTCACTAGCACTGGCCCTTTGATCTCATGAATGAAGTAGCACTGCGCTCAAATGCACCAAACAACATCTGTGGTGTTTCGGGTGTGGCGTAGTGCATTCAAAGTTTGTAAAGACATATTTTGCATTCAACTTGAAGCAAGAGTTTGTACTAGGGTTACAGCATTTTACTCGTGCCTGGCTACAATCTCTGGACCAAAAGAGTACTATAATTATAGGATTTCAGAATGCAAAGCATTGGATCATCAGTCAGAGTCAAGCTGCTTCTGGATGAGTTTTGCTATCTGAATGGAAAACCTCTCGGTTAGTATTGTGTGTGGATGTGAATAGCTCTTGAACCCAAAGGTCAGAGTCTCGCAAGTAACTTCTTCCAAGAATTATTGCAAGCACTCAGGATAATTCTCGTCATTTGGCAATGTAAAATGAGCACTCCAGAGTTTGCCTTGACAAGGTGGCTTGGGAGAATACAGTCAGGAGCAGGATACAGCGGCCAAGTTGAAACTTCCTCTACACCCAGCGCTTACCCCTGAGAATCTTCCGCTAGGCAGCAGAGTACATGCTGTCCATACTGTGCACGGTTCGGTGTCCACTTCACCCAGATCTCACTGTAAAAGGCTCCGTTCTCACTTAACTGCCTGATAGGGCCCTTTACCATGCCAATCGGTGATGTCAAAGTGAAGTCTCTGATTCTGTAAGGCAAGATATTAAAAAACCCAGCAGCTGGTGTCTCAGAAAGCACAAGTTTTATTACTCCGTATAATGGTGGCAAGTGGAGCAAGTGAAGGGCTCCAATTCAAAACGCGATAAAGACCAAACCGGAACTTTTGCGTTTTTTGTCACGAAATAATTCGTTTTCACCCCATGGACGTCTGTGTGTCGGTTTTACGGGTCAAAACGCAATACATCCCAGTCAAAATGATGCCTAAAGTTTGTGTTCTTCCGCAAACGCGATAAAAGTCATTGATGCTGGAGTGCAGACCGAAAAAGAACAAATGAAAAAATGCACTTCCTGAATTTTCCACAAAATGGATTTAGCCCCATCCCTCACACAAACAAGTCAACAAAGAGGTATCTTTGGATTGAGGAGTGCTGGTTTCGAAACAACTGGTTTGAAGCTCAAAGTAGAGCTGGTGTTAGCTCAGAGCAGAGCTGGTGTTAGCTCAGAGCAGAGCTGCTGTTAGCTCAGAGCAGAGCTGCTGTTAGCTCAAAGTAGAGCTGCGGTTAGCTCAAAGTAGAGCTGCGGTTAGCTCAAAGTAGAGCTGCGGTTAGCTCAAAGTAGAGCTGCTGTTAGCTCAAGGTAGAGCTGCGATTAGCTCAAAGTAGAGCTGCTGTTAGCTCAAAGTAGAGCTGCTGTTAGCTCAAGGTAGAGCTGCTGTTAGCTCAAAGTAGAGCTGCTGTTAGCTCAAAGTAGAGCTGCGGTTAGCTCAAAGTAGAGCTGCTGTTAGCTCAAAGTAGAGCTGCGGTTAGCTCAAAGTAGAGCTGCTGTTAGCTCAAAGTAGAGCTGCTGTTAGCTCAACGTAGAGCTGCAATGCTAAATGGTTGTAATATAGCGCAAGGCAGAGCCGCAGCAAATAGCTAGATAACACCAGTTGTGAGCGTGGACCCGATTAGTGGGTACGATAATTGTGATGGTGTGAATAAGTTGGATAGGGAGGGATGGTGGGAAAAGAAACACTGCTGAAGCACGATCCGTTGTCTGGAAGAGCACAACAGGGCAAGCAAGATTTGTTTTTCTTTTCCGCAAAATGGGCTGGCGCAGCAAAACAAAGCGCATGACGTCAGTCTTGAATGCAGTACAAAGCAATGCAGTGCAGTGTGTGCGCTAGTTCGGATTGTTGCTAACAAGTACTAGCACAGCTAGTACACCATTATCTCGTTTTTAATTGGAGCCCTTCAAGTATACCTAGGTACAAAGTGCAGTAACCGTGGTGAATTTGGATATGCAAAACTACCAAATAACAACGTTTGTACAACTAGGACTGGACTGAACACATATGTTGTGCTATTGTGATGGTGATCGTTTGAGGCAGCGGAAGAGAGATTTGTTCAATGGAAGTCTTAGGTGCAATAGGGCTTGAGAGTGCTACGTCACAGCCAGCCTGGAGTCCTGGCAGCCCTAACTTTTGGATTCACTTGGATACAGATTATGTTTGGATCCATCGTTTCTTCCTTCACAGCAGGGTGACACATCTGCCGGTAGTGACTAGACTGAGCCCTCTAACGGTCCTGGAACAACCGCTGGCAGAGAACAAATTCACACCTGCGTACAACATGAGGGGCCTACCCATCACAGTACTGTAATCCACTATGGGCAGAGTGGATCCGAGAAAGTCGTTATTTAGCGGTTACATTTGTGAATGTAAAAGGCATGTGAATGCGATGGGCACTTCTGTACAAACATACTACCGGTTCTATAGCTATAGACCAACGGACTCGGAAAAGCATGACTTACCTGTTAAACTGCGAAGTTTCCCTGACCCTGAGCGTGGCATTATACTGGGTGCCCGGCTTGATGGGAATACATCTCTTGTCGACGGGACTGGGAGGTGCAAATTCTGGGCGAGTGGTGCATGCCACGTTTGACTTGTAAACATCTAATAAGAACTGGAGAGGAACCTGACTAAGAGCGGGGCCATTCGGATCTGACAGCACAAAGTCTTCCAAGACAATCGCCACGGCATGGTAATGGCTGGTTCCTGTTTCTAGCGTGGGTGGAATCATAATGGTGCAGGGATTCTGCAACCAATGAAGAGAGAAGTTATCAGCATCATTATCACTCATAGCGAATATGTCACCACACTCACGCTCTTTCCGCAATTTACACTGTTTGGCGGAGGGGGACTCTATGGTAATGCTGTCATGTGGGTATTCATTGTGGTTAGATCTACTAGACGTAGGAAGTTCGGCAGAGCATTCACATGTACACAAATGCATGGAATGGTTATGCACAGGTGCAGGTACAGCACAGCTATTTCTTACATGCTGGGATGGGGAGAATTCTGAGCGAGAGAAGAGGCTACCGTATTGATCATACCCACATTGTGCTTGTTTGGTCTTAGAAGTGTTTTCAATTATAACACTATGAACAACAGCCACAGCCACAGCCACGGTGCAGCCCCTACTCAGTCTGAGTTGTCACGTTTGTCCTTGTCTCAGTACCATTGTGTTTCATTATTTTACGAGTTGGGTATGTGAACATAGTAAAAAAATACAGATAAAACACAAACGCCGGGCGACGATGACAACAACAATAGAAACAACAACAACAACAACAACAACAACAACAACAACAACAACAACAACAACAACAACAACAACAACAACAACAACAACAACAACAACAACAACAACAACAACAACAACAACAACAACAACAACAACAACAACAACAACAACAACAACAACAACAACAACAACAACAACAACAACAACAACAACAACAACAACAACAACAACAACAACAACAACAACAACAACAACAACAACAACAACAACAACAACAACAACAACAACAACAACAACAACAACAACAACAACAACAACAACAACAACAACAACAACAACAACAACAACAACAACAACAACAACAACAACAACAACAACAACAACAACAACAACAACAACAACAACAACAACAACAACAACAACAACAACAACAACAACAACAACAACAACAACAACAACAACAACAACAACAACAACAACAACAACAACAACAACAACAACAACAACAACAACAACAACAACAACAACAACAACAACAACAACAACAACAACAACAACAACAACAACAACAACAACAACAACAACAACAACAACAACAACAACAACAACAACAACAACAACAACAACAACAACAACAACAACAACAACAACAACAACAACAACAACAACAACAACAACAACAACAACAACAACAACAACAACAACAACAACAACAACAACAACAACAACAACAACAACAACAACAACAACAACAACAACAACAACAACAACAACAACAACAACAACAACAACAACAACAACAACAACAACAACAACAACAACAACAACAACAACAACAACAACAACAACAACAACAACAACAACAACAACAACAACAACAACAACAACAACAACAACAACAACAACAACAACAACAACAACAACAACAACAACAACAACAACAACAACAACAACAACAACAACAACAACAACAACAACAACAACAACAACAACAACAACAACAACAACAACAACAACAACAACAACAACAACAACAACAACAACAACAACAACAACAACAACAACAACAACAACAACAACAACAACAACAACAACAACAACAACAACAACAACAACAACAACAACAACAACAACAACAACAACAACAACAACAACAACAACAACAACAACAACAACAACAACAACAACAACAACAACAACAACAACAACAACAACAACAACAACAACAACAACAACAACAACAACAACAACAACAACAACAACAACAAATATCTCTTATTGGCGATGGTGCCATCGTGAGAATAAAGAATTCAAAAAAAAACAAAAAACAACAACAACACCAACAGCAACAACAACAACAACAACAACAACAACAACAACAACAACAACAACAACAACAACAACAACAACAACAACAACAACAACAACAACAACAACAACAACAACAACAACAACAACAACAACAACAGCAGCAGCAGCAGCAGCAGCAGCAGCAGCAGCAGCAGCAGCAGCAGCAGCAACCGTAGCCACAACACCAGCACCAGCAGAAACAATACCAACGAATGCAGAAGCAGCAGTGGCAGCAGCCACAGCACCAACAACACATCAACAACATACCGTAGAATTCCGCGGATAAGCCCATGGGCTTATCTGTTTCACAAGGACATTTCGGTGGGCTTATACGAGCACATGGGCTTATACGCGGGCATGGGCTTATACGCCGACACCAACATGTGCTATTAAAAAGTATCAAGGAAGTGAGAAGTACATTGCTGAAAACCACTGTGCAAACAAAAACAACCGATGGTCGTGCTGAAATGTACGAAAAAACTGTAATGTGCATGTACTACGTACATGGTAAGGCCAAGAGTCCATAATTTATGGACTCTCGGTATGACCTAGGCCAAGAGTACATGAAACCCGTTTTCATGTACTCTTGCCTAGGCCCATGGGCTTGTACGATGAAGCTTTGTGATTTTCAAACAAACCCTGGGCTTATGCGCGGGCGGTGTACGCTTCTTGTTGGCTGAGAATTCGAAAGAAACGAGAAGCAATGTTCTCTCGAACTTCGAATATTTGCGAAGCTTGTTTTTTGCTATCTGTATTATTTTTGTTGTGGCACGCAGAGCAGGTTGACGTCACTGTAGTGACATAATCGTTGTTGAGCGAGCGCTGTGAAACAGCGCTTGCGCAAAAAGATTGTCCTTCTTTTTGTCTTGCTCACCAAGGGCCCACCCACCCGCCCTCCAAGAGCCCGCCCACTTGCCCTCTGTATTGCTCTGATTGTGAATGCGATGGTGTCCTTGCTGTATCTTTCTGCACTGCTGATTTTATAAGTTCTAGTTGCTTATTATTTTATTTATTTTATCTGGGTGGTCATTCTGCACTAACCGTTGCTGTATCATTTTGCCTCAAATTCTGGCAACTCTGTTTTCCCCTTGAAACAAGGCAATGTGGCTGTCCGCAGCCGACCCTGCACTGTGGTTTTGCTGTTGCAAATGTGAGGTGTGAGAGAGAATGGGCTTATACGCGGGTGGGCTTATCCGCGGGATACTACGGTATTCAGTGACCCAGCATTCCCGTCAGCCTACATGCTTACCGATATCAGAATGGCATTGAAAAGCGGAGGAAATACTCCGCCGCACTCTGAGTAATCTTTACACCATCTGCACCTCACAATGTCATTGTCTGGATCGTCCGTGTGGATCGACAGGTTTTGGCCACAACCGTACTGCATTCGGACGATGGGGATCTGTGCTGAACGAGGACTATGGTTGATCATGCCCGTGTCCGTGCGTTGAGTTAGATTCATGCTGAAGGGCCATACCCAGCCCGTGTCTCTGTACCGGACCAGTGTACTGATCCAGCAGCAGCCCTCATAACTAAACAGTCAAACAGTCAAACAGGCAAACATTCAAACAGGCGAACAATCAAGCAGGCAAACAGTCAAAGAGACAAACAGTCAGACAGCCAATGTTCCAGAAAGAAATAACCGTAGGCACCCGCATGTGCAGTTATCATGTCAAATTTAAGGGTTGACAGAGTTCACAAACGTGAATGGAATGTGCACTGCGCGAAGTCTTTAGAAGCGTTGTAAGGCACTTCCTGCTACTCACAGCCAAAGGTTGATGAAGTGCATGTAATGAGGCAAATGATGTCCTGAAAATGAGGTAGAAAGGTGTGACGGACTCGACTGGCACAAGTATTGTGTACTCCAGAGTCCACCACATCACACTACCTCAACCAGTAGACCTATAGAATGTATACAATGCAATAACGAGAGAGCTGGGAAGCTCAGGGCCCTACGCTATGCTTTTTTGCCTAGCGAGAGTCAACTTTCTCTTTGCATTCGAGGGTAATACGATATCGTCTGCCACCTTGATGACCTAGGCAAAAAAAAGCATAGGGATGTAATAAATTTTTAATTTTTCTTTTTTTTCAAAGACATAACCTAGGATTCGAACCCGCACTATCGTCCTGCATGCATTCCCCCGATACACTTCGCATACATGCTCATTCTTCCAAATTCCTTCAAGTTATGATTTTGCATTTGAAAGCCCTATTTGAATATTGTGGCCAGCTGTCTTTGATGGTACGGTACGGGACAGGTGCGGGATAGCGCCAGGCATGCCGATGCTGTCCTTGATGGTACGGTACGGGACAGGTACGGGATAGCGCCAGGCATGCCAATGCCGTCCTTGATGGTATGGTACGGGACAGGTACGGGATAGCGCCAGGCATGCCGATGGCACAAACAAACAAACATACACGGAATTTAAGCTGTGTGGACCCTGGCTAGCGCCAGACGTTACTGAAGTAACGTCTTTTGCATAGCTACGGGAATAATAATACTTGAGTAGTAACTTTATTAGGATGACCCAAAGGCTGACCGCCTGTCGTGGGGTCCGTCGCATCAAGAGTACATAACCCCCCAGAGTGTGCAACTCCCACATACCCTGCAGTCCCGACAGAATTTCAAGTTGACGTCATTATTTATGATGCAATGCTCCTTGTACCAGTGATTTACAACATGTGTACGAGCGTCAACGCATCACACGTTTTTCTTTGCAATAATTTGTACAGGATCAGATCGGCTTCGGTCAACCACAAGTTCCGGATTCGTCTGATAATCCGTGTACAGTGGGCATTGCATCATCAAAGTGACGTCAACTTGAAATTCTGTCGGGACTGCACCCATAGTCGAGTTGCACACTCTTGGGGGGTTATGCAGTGTCTGCTCTAGGATTGTAGGACAACCGGGTACACGTGTAACTGGCGCAACTATTTCAACCGGGTCGGAGCCGGGTACACATGTACCTGGCGCTGTGAATGAGAGGACAGGAATTAGAAAATTACGAAAGAAGAAGAAGTATCTGACACATACAAGCCATGTAGTCAGTCTTTTCAAAGTTCGAAAGTGTAAAGTACCAACCGGGTCACAGATGACCCGGTACTATATTTTCAACCGGGTTCAAGAGCCGCCCAACCGGGTGGATTGCCCGGCTCACCCGGCGCTGGAGCAGACACTGGTTATGTACTCTTGGTCGCATTGAAGGATGATGGTACCAGATCGTGTGCTCTGGGTGGTAGTCGTGGGTCAGATCAATGTCATTTCCAGTCGGCAGCAACACGCAAACTCCCACACTCTTCCACCAGAAGTTCTGCACTCTAATCGTGCTACGAGAAATCTAGTATCACCTTTTTTCTTTTTTTTTCTTTTTTTTTACTAAAAAACACAGCCCTGCTAATAATCAGGGGAACAGGACAACTGAAATGACACTGGACAACAAGACAAAGGGGAGTAGGGGCGATGTGCCGATGTGGTTGGCGAGGCTCATCCGACCGGAGGTCTCGGAATCATAGCCTACGGCCAGGCATTGATAGGAATGCAGCTAGGGAGGGAGGGAGATCAAGTGAGAAAGAGAAAGAGAGAGGGGGAGAGGGAGAGGGAGAGAGAAAGAGAGAGAGAGAAAGAGAGAGAGAGAGAGAGATAGAGAGAGAGAGAGAGAGAGAGAGAGAGAGAGAGAGAGAGAGAGAGAGAGAGAGAGAGAGAGAGAGAGAGAGAGAGAGAGAGAGAGAGAGAGAGAGAGAGAGAGGGGGGGAGAGAGAGGGAGAGGGAGAGGGAGAGAGAGAGAGAGAGAGAGAGAGAGAGAGAGAGAGGGGGGGAGAGAGAGGGAGAGGGAGAGGGAGAGAGAGAGAGAGAGAGAGAGAGAGAGAGAGAGAGAGAGAGAGAGAGAGAGAGAGAGAGAGAGAGAGAGAGAAAAAGAAACAAAATAAAACAAGAAAGAGATGAGAAGAGAGATAAAATAAAACAAGAAAGAGATGATGGACGAGGGTAGTTGCTCATTGACGGGTGGCATAGCCTCACTGGGAGTCCGTAGCCCAGAGCCAATTCTTTTGACGCAAGTGGCGATGGACCTTCGTCTTAAAGGATTGGAGAGACTTCAACTGGGGCATAGGATCCGGAAACATGTCTTGCGGAAGCCTGTTCCATTCATCCACTACACCATATGGGAACGAACGCTGGAGAAAGTTGGGGGCCGTAGGGAGGAGCACTGCTTGTAGCTGATGCTGGTGGCGGACACGGAGCTGCGACCTTGTCCGCGGGACGAGGCTAGCTTCCTGGCGAGGTGGCACGAGCGCAGAGAGATCTGGATGGTCTTGAAGGCACATTAGCTTGTACATGTACGTGAGAGCGTACACTTGGCGGCGGGCAGCTAGGCTCTGCAGCAAGGCGTCAGGACCAATGATAGCAAAGGCCTTCCGCTGCACTCGGTCGAGTCTTTGCAGGTGAGAGTTGGCTGCGCCCATCCATGTCAATAGTGCGTATTCGAGTACAGGGCGTACGAAGCCTCTGTACGTTGTCAAGCGTCCTTTACGACCAAAGAAACTTGATGCTCGACGCAGAAATCCTAGTTGGGCTACAGCACGAAGAGAAACATTGCGGAGGTGGCGTCTGAAGGTGAGTTTGCTGTCGAAGGTCACTCCCAGGAGCTTCAGCTCGTCCCCGCAGGGAATATCATGGGCTCCGAACGTTAGGTCTGGGAGTGGCCAGGGGTTGCGGTGGTGGCCAATATGCAGCAGCTGCAACTTTGTCGGCTCAAAGCGAACTCTCCATTGTTCTCCCCAGCTACTCAATCGATCCAGGCTAGATTGCATGTCTGCAATACTGCCAGCAAAGTCATCTCTGGATCGTATGATGGTGTACAGCGTGGTGTCATCTGCGTACACACCCATTCGCGTTGATGGGGAAAGACAGGTCTCAGCATCGTTAACATACATCAAGAATAAGGTGGGTCCCAGGATGCTGCCTTGGGGTACGCCAGCTTTAGTCTGGAATTGAGCAGATTCCTGTCCATTGACGATTGCGCTTAGTGTGCGATTCCGCAAATAGTCCCGTAGCCACTGCAGCAGGCTACCGCCAATACCGAGAGTGGCCGCTTTGTGTAGGACGCCGGGGTGCGACACGCGGTCAAACGCACCAGCAATGTCGACAGCCAGGACGTGGGCACAGCCACCAGAACCAGCTGCCAGCGACCAATCATGCCCAAGCACTGCTAGTAGGTCCGCTGTTCCAAGGCCACTGCGAAATCCGTACTGCTTGGTTGACAAGAGATGATGTTTTTAAAGGTGATTCACAATTTGACAGTTCACAATACGCTCCATCACTTTGGAGATGATGGGGAGGAGGGAGACTGGGCGGTAATTCTTAGGGTTGGATAGGCTGCCCTTCTTGTAGACTGGCACAACTCGAGCACTCTTCCAGGCCTCTGGCTGGACACCCTTACGGAAGCACAGGGCGAAGAGAGACGTTAGAGGCGATGCAAGCTCATGGGAGCACTCTTTGAGCACTCGGGCAGGGATGTTGTCCGGACCGGACGCCTTGCCAACGTCGAGCTGGTTCAGGAGGCGTTTCACTGTTTGCAGGCGGAAGTGGATTCGGCTAAGTGGGGTGACCCCGGGTTGGCGAACATGAGGGAGATCCCCCGGGCCCAAGTCATCATCTCCAAGGCTACATTTATTGGCGAAGTAGCGACCAAGGCAGTTCGCTTTGGCAGCATTCATACGGAGTTGGTGACCAGCGTCATCTACCAAGCATGGTATAGACGAGCCATGACTGGCGCCAGCAGCAGATTTGAGCACCGACCACCATTGCTTGTCTTTCAGGCCTCCGCGTGACAGTTTCCGACGAACTCTCAGTTCCCAGGAAGCGCGAGCTCTCACATTCGCGAGGATAGCATCTTCTACTGAGCGCATGAAGCAAGCCTTGTGGGCTTCGCTGGAAATATTGTGTCTCCAGGCCTTCCATGCCTTGTTTTTAGTGTTCAGTGCTGTGGTGCACTCAGGAGTCCACCATTTGGGGTCTGCTGGGCGGGTGACAAGCTGCTTGGCGGGGATAAATTTCTGCATGCCACTGGAGATGACGTCACTTAGCTTCCTGCAGGACTCTTCAGGGTCGTCAGTCACAATGGTGGACCAGTCAGTAGTGCGATAGAAGGCCCGCAGGCGCCCCCAGTCTGCCTGATTGTAGCGCCAGACAGTCTTGGAGGTAGCTTGCTCAGCATCAGGGGTGAGGTAAAAGTCGGCAAGAACAACCCCATGGTCAGAGCGACCAAGTGGCGCTTTGACAGTGGTGTCGATAGGAACAGGCATGTTGGAGAGGATGAGGTCCAGGGTGTTCAGACCCCTAGTCGGCTGCAAGACATGCTGGTGGAGTTGATGCTCAGCACACAATTCTTCCAAGGCCTCTCCAGCTACAGTTGTTTTGCTGCTGCAGAGCCAAGTCTCGTGATGGACATTAAAATCCCCAGCTAGCACTATGTGAGTGCCGTGAGTGCGGGCCACGTCTAGTGCAGGTCCAAGATACTCAAGAGGTGTACCA